AATATGCAGCTGTTGTGTGGTGCCCATATCTTAAGAAGCACATCAACAAACTGGAAAAGGTGCAAAGACATGCTACTAAGTGGCTCCCAGAACTGAAGGGCAAGAGCTACGAGGAGAGGTTAGAAGCATTAAATATGCCAAAACTAGAAGACAGAAGAAAAAGAGGTGATATGATCACTACATACAAAATAGTAACAGGAATTGACAAAATCGACAGGGAAGACTTCCTGAGACCTGGAACTTCAAGAACAAGAGGTCATAGATTTAAACTAGCTAAACACAGATGCCGAAGAAATATAAGAAAATTCACCTTCGCAAATAGAGTGGTAGACGGTTGGAACAAGTTAAGTGAGAAGGTGGTGGAGGCCAAGACCGTCAGTAGTTTCAAAGCGTTATATGACAAAGAGTGCTGGGAAGACGGGACACCACGAGCGTAGCTCTCATCCTGTAACTACACTTAGGTAATTACACTTAGGTAATTACACACACACACATACATATACATATACATACATACATACATACATACATACATACATACACATGATAGACAATATATACACATGATTAATCATTAATATTATATCAAAGTTGACAGACTTCCATGCATTTTGGTTATATAATTTTGTAGTACACTATTATCACTGGTACTGGTGATGTCCCCTGTTCCTGGAGGAGTCAAGGAGTTTGAGGGGTGGATATGGTTGTTCATTTGAGGCCACTGTAAAACACTTGGCATTATTTACAAATGGTTGCATTTGATTTATCTATTATTATTCTGATAATCATCATGTCAAGATTTATTTTATAAGACTTCAAATAATAAATTGATGCCTTTTAGAACCATGTTTAATAGGATGAGGTGGTACAAGCCCACTTATAAATATTAATTATCTCTATATCGAAGAAAAATTGATACTGATGGAACATTTCCATAGATGCCATTTACAACTACAAATTTCTGCTTGTCATAAATAGATTAAAAATCAAATTGGCATCACCAGTTGAGAGTTAAGGCAGGTTTAAAAATATCTTTGCTTCCTTAGCAAAGATAGCTCATGTTATCAAGAATGGTAACATTTTAGTTAACCACATAACATGCATACTACTGTTCTGTCTTTATACAGCAGGTGTATTACTGTTGTGCACACAATAATGAATTAGCTTACCAAATATATTGCACATAGTTTAGTACCAATTTCTGAGCAAGGTCTCTTAGGTCATTTCCCGAGTCAGGGCTTCGTCCCTAGTAGAACATCACAATTTCATCAGGCTGCCAACCTGTGCCCCATTGGGATCAGTAACATGTGAAATAATTTAACCACCAAAATGACTGCATATTATGAAAAGGTTCCCAACCCTCCTATTGAGTTGCCTTCATCCAGAGCTGTTTCCGGATCTTCGCCTCTTTCTTCGATTGGTGAGCAGAATATGCTGTCTATTGATATTCATGTCTGGAGTTTTTAAGCACAGCAGTTCGTATGGAAAGCTAATGGTGGATCTTTTGGTCTTTCACCTGTGCACTTCTTTTATTATCAGTATGAAGATTCAAAGATGTTAAGAGTTTCTGCTCTTTGATATATCGAAAGTGTATGTTTGATGGTGGAATGAACTTTGTCCCCTGTTTTCCCCTCTCAGTTGAGGTCGCCATGGGGGCATAAGTTGACATAACCTGACAGGAATGTGATGTCCTTGGACACAGACCCCTGGCTAGTGATGCGACCAAGGGACCGCTTGGTAAGAATGTTTCATAAACTCGACACCCTATTTTCATCAAGTAAATTAATATATTATACTGGGTTATCATGAGTATCATTGCCAGTGGCTCAATGACCAGTCATTCCACATCCGCACTCAGATGTCTGCCTGGGAATTTATATTACTGAATAACTAATTGTGAAGTGCCAGCAATACTCAGTTGTATTATTCAGTGCATTACTGTATTGCATGAGTAACCAGTAAAATTGTATTTTTATTCTAATGTTTCCTAGTGGCTAATTTTCTTCCAAGAAAGTAATTATGTTGCAATAAATTTAATCACTGTGCTGTGCCGAGTTTGTGAAATTCCCCCTTGTGCGCATGAAATAAAGTGTTCCCAAAAATTCTTGTTTCTTCGTAAAATGATACACATTCAGGGAAGAGAATTTATGTGAAAATAAATACCAAATTCCAATTTGGTTGCGGGGACATGGACAAGGTGCGCTGTGATGTCATCAGGGGCTGGTCGCCCGTGCGTGACACGCCCAGACACGGTCGCGCGGGCCATTCAAGCCCCAGGTGTTGCCACAAATATATTTTAATTTATTTGTTGCTACCAAGCCAAACAAGTGAACAGAATTCCCCAAATAAAATTATCAAACTAGCATGATGCTGCGCCGCCGTCTGTGCAACCACCCCCCCTCCCTAGGAGGGGGAAGGGGGAGCCCTAGACCCTCCTCACCGGCAATCCAACCGGCAGTTCTTAGGCTTAATGTCAAAATATGCGAAAAACGCCGACTGGAGGGAGGGAGGGAGGGATGCTGGGGAACCTCCGAGACTCACCCAGAAAAATGGCGTTTCATTACATTCAGCGCTGGTTTTCTGGCATTGTTTTACCTCTGGCATGCTCTTGCACTTCCGGTGCCGACCTGGTCGTTGGTCTGGGTGGTTTATTTTCTTTCTTCTCCTCGGTTTATTATAATCCCTTCGGTTCTGGTGTGTTTTTTGTTTTGTTTTGAGGTCTTTTGAGGTCTCCTCTTGGTGTTGACCTCTGGGGGTCGAATTGGGGAGTTTTGGGCTCTCCTCCAGCGCCCGGGTGTTTTCTGCCTCATTTGGTCCTAGTGGTAGGTTGTTCATTTGCTGCAGTCTCCTTTTCAGTCTGCTGTTTTCCGGAGGGGTCCTCGCGTTGCTGCTTGGTTAGTCAGGCCAGGGGCGTTTTATTTGTTGTTCAGTTGTGGCTCTTCACTGTTTTCCGCGCGTCTTGGCCTCTGGGGCCATGGACGCGTTTTGGTTTGCCCGGGTTCCCTTCCTTCCCTCCTTCCTGTTCTGGGGATCGGGTCTCTCGGGTCGTCCGCATGGTCCTTTAGTTTCGTCTGTGATCTTGTTTTTGTGTTAGGGCACGTGGTGTCCGCCTTCCGGATCCTACCCTCTTTTCCTTATCTTTGGTGAGGTAGTTCCAGGGAACCGATGGGGCTCCCCCCTAGAAAACCAGTGTTGAATGTAATGAAACGCCATTTTCTGGGCGAGTCTCGGAGGCTCCCTGGCATCCCTCCCTCCCTCCAGTCGGCGGTGTTTTTTGCATATTTTGACATCCAGTCTAAGAACTGCTGGTTGGATTGCCGGCGCGGAGGGTCTGGGGGTCCCCTTAACCCTCCCGGGTAGTAAGGGGGGATGGAGCGCAGACAGCAGTGCGGCGACGTGATGACAGTCATGGTAGTTTGATCATTTTGTTTGGGGAGTTCTGTCCACTCGTTCGGCTTTCTGTAGGAATATTTTCACCAGAATAGGGGTTTGTTTTGGGGCGCCAACCTTTCTGGGTGCATGTCCTGGTCGATGGCAGACATAGAATGCTCCCAACCACAGGGGGATTTCTATAGGCCATTGCTCCTCGTGCCTCTCTGAGAGGGCCAGGTTCTGGCTCGTGGTCCCCGGTAGGCAAGAACTCCAAGCTCTTTGACTGATGCCAGAAAGTTATACATAGCCATTCTGCCTCGATAGCTCCGGGAAGCCTCCGGGACTCGCCCAGAAAATGGCGTTTCATTACATTCAATGCTGGTTTTTTGCTGTACTGTTTTGTCTTTTCTGATGGAATGTATTTCCTCACCCCATGAATATGGTGAATGGGATAATGATGATAACTCATTTTTTACCCAGTTAATATTTTTATCACAGTTTCTGTAAGTTACTGAATTAACAGTAATTAATTAAATGTTTTCCTAGTGTATACAAGGCTCAGGAACTAAGCTTCCGTAGTATATTCTAGAGAGCTCTAGGAATGGATATCATGGCTCTGTTGATAAATTTCCATGTTAGCTTAATATTTAGAAGTTAATGGAGGTTATTTCTGCTTTGTTTTTACAGAAGTTTTCATAGCTTTACTTTTAAAAGAGAGTATGCTAAAAATCCTGCATGTGATTAAACCTTTTGAAGGAATTGGGCATGATAATAGCATATATGTTATTAGTGGGCATGCTGGTGGTATGCATATCAGCGGACATGCTGATGGTATGCATATCAGTGGGCATGCTGATGGTATGCATATCAGCGGGCATGCTGATGGTATGCATATCGGTGGGCATGCTGATGGTATGCATATCGGTGGGCATGCTGATGGTATGCATATCGGTGGGCATGCTGATGTATGCATATCAATGGGCAAGTAGATGGTATGCATATCAGTGGGCATGCTGATGGTATGCATATTATTGGGCATGTTGATGGTATGCATATCAGTGGGCATGCTGTTGGTTTACATTATATACTGTATGCATGATAATGGTATATAAGATATCAATGGACATGATTATAGTACCCATGATATTGGTGGGCATGATAATATTATACATACTATCTGTGGGTATGATAGTAGTATATATATATATAAGTGTGAATGATAATAATACACATAATATCAGTGGGTATGATAATTGTATACATAATATCAGGTGCACAATAATAATAATAGTATGAACATGATTGTGGATGATATCACTAAGCATGACCATTGTATGCATGACATCACTAAGCATAATGATTGCATGCATGATCTCACTGGAGCATTATAGCATTGACCGTGCTGAACACCGAGTGTGATAACATTGGACATGATAATGCAAATTACTCTACTGATATTGCTTGCAGCTTATAACAGGATTCAAGAAATTTCATTCAGACATGGAGACATGCTTTCCATCATCTTCTTGCGTGTTGCATTTACAGTGTTATGTTCTGTACATTCATGCCTCCAATTTAATCAAATTTTCTAGCGGCTGCAGATGACTAACCTGCATGATACTTTTCAGGTATCAATTTGGGAAAACACATTGATGATATCTACGAGGGTATTACAGTGGCAGGAATTACCTGTCAGCCATACCGCAACTCTTACATCAAGACTACAGAGGTTACCTGCATGGTCGACAGTCCAGGAGTCAACGACTTCAAGGAGGGGCCCATTGTTGTCAAGGTAAGTGTGGGTATAGGCGTTAACAGTTTTTCATCTACATGGCGAGTTTTCCCTTCAGGATGATGTTGATATTAGATGACCATCCCTCCCCCCCCCTTCCCCCCCCCTCCCCCCTCCAGGAATGTGTGAACATTACGTGACCCACCATTAGGTGACCCCCCCCATCAAGGAATATGTAAACATTTGGGGATTCACATCTAAGATGATGTAAACATTAGGAATACATAAAGGTAGACAAGTCTGCTTCTCTTTCTTACTGCATTTACAAGCCGACATTTACATAGTTTGGTGAACACAGTCATTTATATGGTTTGGAAAGAAGATTTCCAATTTTGTAGTTGGTATTTGGGTGAAGAAATGGGCCAGATAAGAGATGAAAGAAGATAGTTTCCAATCAGCTGGCTTAGAGTTCTGATATCTGACGTGCTGATATTAAGAGTTCTGATACCTACAGAAGCGAGTTTAGTATAAATGCAGACATTGAAAAAATCATAGCAACTTTCATATTATTACCCACCTAAATCAGACTTAAGGAAAAATAAGTTAAGCAAATTAAAATTATCACTAAATAGCCAGCAGACACAGTGTTAGATCCAAATAGCACAAAACTTCAGCAACTAATAGCATGAACACTAGTTTCACGCCACACTACAGAGAGGCACATCTCTCAGATCTGTGCTGATGTTGCAGGCAAAATGCAAAGTGATATAAAAAAAATTATCTTGCATTCAGCTTAGCTCTTGATGAATCAACAGATATACAAAACAACACACAATTAGCAATATTTGTTCATTATGTTTCCTCTGATGTACATGTGAAAGAAGGGGTGTTAGAATTAGTGGCATTAAAAGGAACAACTTGTGGTGAAGACATTAAAATGCGCTTGACAGAACCATAAGAAATGCTGATGTTTCCCTGATTAGACTCATCAGTGTTGCAACAGATGGAGCACCTGCAACAGTTTAACCCTTGTGTTGCTAAGGGCTAATTAGCCTTTGTCACCCACAGGCGCATACCCCAAAAAAAAAATTCTGCCTAACCTGTTAAGTTGTGTTCCCTGACCACGAGAAAAAAAAGAATAATTGTACTTACCAATGACGTAATTGAGCCGACAATATGGGCGATGACGTCACAACTTGCATGTTCGCTCACGCAAGGTTCGCGCACGATCTTCAAGCAGGCAGAGTTGCCACGAATTTATTTTCGTGGCATTATTTACAGTGTCTAGGCATATTTTATCACTAATATTATTCACTAATTGTGTTGCATATACTGTAATGTTACATCATGGTCAATGGCAATACATGTTGCATGAGTATACACATGCGCACACAAATGTTTTCCAAATGTCACGCCAATATAATATGTACAGTATTCACATTGTTCATTATTATATTTACACACATACATGCACTATTTACAGGTTTTTGCACAATTATTGCACATTTAAAAGTCTTGGAGAGAGTGGTAGTCGTTGAAGCAGTCGACAGCACACAAAGGGACTGCACATGCTCCACGCCATGTTTGCACAAGTTTACGTTTCTGATCTCTCCTTTTTGTTGTTTTACAAAATAAGCAATCCCATTGGCCTATTGCACCCTTTCCAGCTGGTGGCAAATGTTTTACTCTGTGTGTTTGAAAAGCCTGCATGTGAGCGAACCTGGGTGTAGCAGCATGCTGCAACACTGAGTTTATGATAGGTCGTTGTATGCCAGGAACATCTTTGCCAAACTTTGCTAATACCTGTAACCGTGTCCCAAGTGTAAAAGCAAATGAACGGAAACTTGGTTTACGTCCAGTTTTCACCAGATACATATTGTAGCAGTTCAGCATGCTCATGTCAACTAGATGAAAAAACACTTTTTTCGACCACTTCAATGTTTTCCACACACACACACACTCGACAGTGCCCACCATCGTGTCAGATTTATCAACCAAACGCATGTTGATATTTATAATCAAGAACACTATCTGGCTTATATACTGGATCTTGCATTACTCAGTTCACCTTGCCACTGTTCACCATTGTACCATCATGAATAGTTGTCGGCACGTTCACTTCTCTCTTGTCTTTCCACCTAACTGAGTATTTGATCACATTTTCTTAGCTTGCAGTCACCAACTTCAAGTTTATTGTCAAACAAATTTCTTTTCTTCAAATTGGCATTTCTTTTCTTCTTGGCTTTACTGTGCCAACCAATCCAGTTCTATTTTCAATTGGGAACCTAGCTAGCAAGGGACTTGTATAGTAGTTATCCGTGTACAAAATGTGGCCCTTGTTCATCCATGGTGCCATCAGTGACTTCACCACACTACCTAAGAACCCATGTTGGTCATTTCCGGGAATGTCAACATCGCTAGCAGAATACAGAAACGTGTAACACGTAACCTGTTTCACAGTCACAAAGAACAAAGAATTTCAATCCAACTCTGTTGCATTTGGAGGGAATATACTGCTTGAAGGCAAGACGTCCTTTGAAAAGCACAAGGGATTCGTCAATCACCAACTTCTGTGCTGGTACGTAGAAATCTCTGAACTTTTCAATCACTTCGTTCATATAGTGCCTGACTCGCCAAAGTCTATCATCCTCTGTCCGGTCCTCATTACTTGCAAAATGTAGACACCTGAAGAGTATCTGAAACCTGTCTCGGGACACACATTTCCCGAAGAAAGGTGTTGGAATAGTCTGGTCTTTCTTTACTCCAATAATCAGTGATAGCGTGTTTGACACTGCTTCATTAACATACATATTGCTAAAAATACATACATTTCACCTACAGTTGTGTTTTTCCAAAGCTGCAATCGTGAATATTCTGTCATCTCTTTTTTTCCAATGAGATGAGCCGCATGAAGGTTTGTTTGGTGTACAATATATTGCATGAGCGGCTCATCATAAAATATTCCATTTCACACATGTCCTCACCATTATCCGGGAAAAGGTCTGTAATCCCAAAGTCTTTATTGTCAAAGGCAGGAATTAGAGGAATACAATCATCACCATCACTCCCCACAAGTACACCTGGTGTCCTGCGAGATGCAACAGCGGCACAACGGCGAGGAAGCGTTGCTCACCGTGAACCAGGAGCTGAAGCCCGTCTACGCAGAGTATGGCCGCTACGTGAACGTGAGGTGATATCACGTGGACATAAGGGTCTTTTTCCTCATGTGGTGCCATGCGGTGGCGCTTGGCTGGGCGAGACGCTGCGGAAGCGACAAATTCTCGCCCGGTCACACCACTGGTACTAGCAACAGGCACGGTAACACTATGCTCTGAATCCACTTCACTAAAACCAGAAAATGAGTCATCTTCCTCTGACTCGTCGCCCAAAATATCCTCATACTCTAAATAAGCACAGGAACTGTGTGGTCATGGGTGGATTGGAGTAGACACTGGGCGAGGTGGCACGGGTGGGCATGTAGGCCTCACCATAGGAGGAGGCTGTGTCTCATTTTCACTGTCGGTGCTACTATCATCGGTCAATTGTGTATAGTGCTTATCATTGTCAGTCATCAAAATCACTTTCCTCACGATCGGAAAATAATTCACTAATTATTTGCTCTTGGGTAAGTGATTGCGTGGTGCGTGCCCGGGAAGCGTTTGGCCTTGCGCTTGCCATGGTCATTGCTGGGTAACTGGGGCCTCCCATGCGTTGGTAGTGTGACCTGGATTTTTTTACAAAATGGCTGCTGTTTACCATAGCCCCTGGGCAGCGTATGGGAGCCCCCCTACCCCGCTGGCCATTCAAATCTTGCGCGGTACAAAAACACGTCATATGACATGTTGCACAGTTTAAGGGTTAAAAACTTCATGCATAAATAAATATTATTGCATTTAATATGCATTTATTAATCCATATACAATTTTTGTAACAAAATGTGAATGTAATAATAAAAACGTAAGTGTAAATTTTTATTCATGTCCTGCAGCTCTCAAACATCAGAGCTTAGTCGTTTGTGGCTCTCACAGTAAGCAAGTATGGCCACCCCTGCTGTATACGCACGTCATATATAACACACAAATTCAAATTCAAATTGGATTCAAAAGGTGACACCCCTAGGGTCAACACTTGCAGCAGAGGAGCTCCAGCATATTTCAACAATCCTAAGTATTGTAGTACAGGTTGATGGTAGTGAGTGGTGTCCCACAGAACATAAAGGTATAGTGCTCTTGAAAAATAGGTGAGATAACAGGAAAGTGCTAAGGGAAGTGAAGAATCGGATGAGAAAAAGTTGCCCCTAGTGTTTACAGTGCAGAGAAGAACATTCAAGATGGCCACCGGCAAGGGGAAAAACAAAACAGAGCTTGATTTTGAGGGATTCAATGAAGAAAGCATTGATATTAGTAGTCTACATAACAAGTTGGTAAATTTAGATACTATAGTGAACTCTCATGTAGAAATAATTAGTAAATTGAAAGAAAGTAATGACCATTTGAATAGCAAAGTTTTATGTCTTGAGGGTTTAGTGAAAGACTTGCGCAAGGATAAGAATCAATTGGAAACAAATTGCAAAGCCATGGAAGAAGAAAATAAACTCTTAAAAATAGCTTTGGAAGAAGTTAAAGTAAATTTAAACATAAATGACTACAATAGGTTAGGCAAGGAAATTCAACAGGAGAAACAGCTTTTGTCAGCACAGATGGAGGAAGTTACACAGGGAATAGAACAGTGCAAGAAAGATATGCAACTCACTTATGCACAAGTGGCCAAGGAGAAGGAAAAAATAGAAGAAGCAGTAAAGGAAGTCAAACACTGCAGCAACCAAGATAAAACAAACATTAGGCTAGAAGTGAGGAAAGAATTGGCATCTAACCCGAAGTTGGTGCAAAACACAGTTGATCGGAGTAAGTCCCTGATCATTTTTGGCTGCAAAGAAAAGGCGATAACATCTAGGTCAGAAAGAGCTGTAGAAGAAGCTAAAGTAGTAGATAAAATTGTTGGCCTCGTGGAAGGTCTTACAAACAGAGAGAATGTGTGCGACTACAGGAGAATAGGCAGGTACGTAAAAGGGAAAGATCGACCTTTGAGGATCACCCTAAACGGTGCCAAACAGATGGAAGAAGTACTAAGGAATGCTAGAAAATTGCAAAGGGATGAGGATGGGAAAGGGTGGTCGTTAAGACGAGATCTTTCAAAAGAAGATAGAGAGAAGCTGAAACTGAACCTCGCCGAGGCAAAACATTTAAATGAGAGCAGGAATGAAGAAGAAATAAATTCTTTTTTCTACAAAGTGATAGGGGTAGGCAAACCAGTAAAGTGGTACATAAAGGCAAACCAACAAAATCAATAGAGAGAGGGGGAGTGAAGAATAAGGAGAGGGGGAACAAGTTCCTGAAGATTGCATACACCAACATAGATGGAGTGAGATCGAAGATACTGGAGTTAAGTGATGTAATACAGCTGCAGACACCAGACATTGTTGCACTCACGGAGACAAAACTTGAAGATGTAATTTTAAATGAGGTCATATTCCCAAGGGGCTACTCAATTTGGAGACGGGACAGAAAAATTAGGAAAGGCGGTGGCGTTGCTGTGCTGGTAAAAGAACACCTAAAGGTGAAGGAAATAATGACTGCCAATCCACAAGAAGTTGACATAATAGCACTAGAGATCTGCTATGAGGATGATAAACTAATGATGATAAATGCATATAGTCCACCGCCAAGCAGCACATGGTCAAAGGAGGAGCTAGATAGTAAACGTGAAGGTCTTATAACAATAATGAGAGAGATTATAGCGAGAGCGGATAACGATAGATCACGACTGTTGATAGTCGGTGACTTCAACTTGAAATCCATAGACTGGGAAGCATATGAAGCTAAAACAGAAGATTTTTGGACCTGTAAATTTGTAGACCTCATCCTGGAAACATTCTTGTATCAACATGTTAAACAAGCTACGAGGATGAGGGAAGGGGACGTTCCCTCCATGCTAGATTTGATATTTACCAGGAAGGAGGAAGAGATATTTGACATTCAGTACCTTCCTCCCTTGGGTAAAAGTGACCATGTCTTTTTGGGAATAAAGTATGCAATGCGTTATAAGCTGGAAGAAAATAAGGAGGTTGAAGCAGATGAAAAACCAGACTTCAGGAGAGGACATTATGGTGACCTTAGAAATTTTTTTAGTGAGTATAATTGGACAGACTTGATGCTAGGCAAGGAAGTGAATGAGATGTATGGCAAGTTTTGTGAAATATATGATAAAGGCACAAAAAAATTTATACCAAAACAGAGATGCAGGACCAGAAAACAGGATTGGTTCGACAGAAATTGTGAGAGGGCAAGAGACCAAAAGACACAAAAATGGAATCAGTATAGGAAGAGGCCAAACCCCCAAACATACCAGCGATACAAAGATGCGAGAAACAATTATACAGCAGTAAGGAGAGAGGCAGAAAGAAATTTTGAAAAAGGGATAGCAGATAAATGTAAAACAGAACCGGGCCTATTCTACAAATTCATAAACAACAAATTGCAGGTAAAGGATAATATCCAGAGGTTGGAAATGGGAAACAGATTCACGGAAAATGAAAAGGAAATGTGTGAAACATTAAATGAAAAGTTCCAAAGTGTGTTTGTACAAAATGAAATCTTCAGAGAACCAGACACAATAAGAATTCCAGAGAACAACATAGAGCGGATAGAGGTGTCTAGAGATGAAGTGGAAAATATGCTAAAGGAGCTCGGGAGGAACAAAGCAGCTGGCCCAGATGGCGTTTCACCATGGGTTCTGAGAGAATGTGCATCTGAGCTCAGCATTCCACTTCACCTGATCTTTCAGGCATCCCTGTGTACAGGAATCGTAGCAGACGTGTGGAAACAGGCTAACATAGTTCCAATCTACAAAAGTGGCAGCAGGGAAGACCCCCTCAATTATAGACCTGTATCATTGACAAGTGTAATAGTGAAAGTATTGGAAAAGCTAATCAAAACTAAATGGGTAGAACACCTGGAGAGAAATGATATAATATCAGACAGACAGTATGGTTTTCGATCAGGAAGATCCTGTGTATCGAATTTACTCAGTTTCTATGATCGGGCCACAGAGATATTACAGGAAAGAGATGGCTGGGTTGACTGCATCTATCTGGACCTAAAAAAGGCTTTCGACAGAGTTCCACATAAGAGGTTGTTCTGGAAACTGGAAAATATTGGAGGGGTGACAGGTAAGCTTCTATCATGGATGAAAAATTTTCTGACTGATAGAAAAATGAGGGCAGTAATCAGAGGCAATGTATCGGAATGGAGAAATGTCACAAGTGGAGTACCACAGGGTTCAGTTCTTGCACCAGTGATGTTTATTGTGTACATAAATGATCTACCAGTTGGTATACAGAATTATATGAACATGTTTGCGGATGATGCTAAGATAATAGGAAGGATAAGAAATTTAGATGATTGTCATGCCCTTCAAGAAGACCTGGACAAAATAAGTATATGGAGCACCACTTGGCAAATGGAATTTAATGTTAATAAATGTCATGTTATGGAATGTGGAATAGGAGAACATAGACCCCACACAACCTATATATTATGTGAGAAATCTTTAAAGAATTCTGATAAAGAAAGAGATCTAGGAGTGGTTCTAGATAGAAAACTATCACCTGAGGACCACATTAAGAATATTGTGCAAGGAGCCTATGCAATGCTTTCTAACTTCAGAATTGCATTTAAATACATGGATGGCGATATACTAAAGAAATTGTTCATGACTTTTGTTAGGCCAAAGCTAGAATATGCAGCTGTTGTGTGGTGCCCATATCTTAAGAAGCACATCAACAAACTGGAAAAGGTGCAAAGACATGCTACTAAGTGGCTCCCAGAACTGAAGGGCAAGAGCTACGAGGAGAGGTTAGAAGCATTAAATATGCCAAAACTAGAAGACAGAAGAAAAAGAGGTGATATGATCACTACGTACAAAATAGTAACAGGAATTGATAAAATCGACAGGGAAGACTTCCTGAGACCTGGAACTTCAAGAACAAGAGGCCATAGATTTAAACTAGCTAAACACAGATGCCGAAGAAATATAAGAAAATTCACCTTCGCAAATAGAGTGGTAGACGGTTGGAACAAGTTAAGTGAGAAGGTGGTGGAGGCCAAGACCGTCAGTAGTTTCAAAGCGTTATATGACAAAGAGTGCTGGGAAGACGGGACACCACGAGCGTAGCTCTCATCCTGTAACTACACTTAGGTAATTACACTTAGGTAATTACACTAGATTTTTGTGCACCATAAGAAACCACTAAACTACTGTTCTTTAGTTGAGGATAACTGCTGAACCTCGGGAAGTTATATCACATGCCTATCTTGCCTTATTGTGTTGGGGATGGAAGATGGAAGAAGGTTACAAGAGAGAGAGAGAGGATTGATAATTATGTTTCTCTACAGGTGGCACGGGAATATAGAGGAGAATCTTTGGAAAAATATCGTTTTGTTAATCCAGAGATAAAGGATCTTACACCAGACTCTGGGCCAAGATCTGGTGGAACTCTTCTGCACATAATTGGTGAACACATGAATGCAGGCAGTCGTATTGAGGCCTTCATTAGTGCAAAACCATGCAAGATTCAAAGGTAAATTTTTTTTGTAATATTATTTGTTAATACACAAAAGGCAGTTTCTTAGGGAGAGTTATGTACCTGTATTATTTCATTGTATACATTTCATTTATCTTTATCTTTCATTGTGGTATTTACAAAATTTGCACTACGAAGCTACTTTAATATAATAATTTTGCTGAATTAGAAATGTAAATGAAGTAATTTTGAACAATCTGTAATATAAATTTTTCATCTGCAGCACAAATGCAACGGTGGCAACCTGTATCACTTCTGAGTCAAATGATCACCAGGAGGGAAAAATTGAAATGGTGTTTGATAATGGCCGTAGAAAACTAGAAGACAAATTTTTTACATATGTAAATGACCCAACAATCCTATCTGTCAAGTCTGGAAGAGCAGGCCAAGCAGGACTGGTAAGTACATTATTATATCCTAAGCTCACTTTAAAATGAACTAAAGTAAGGTAATGAATAAAATGGCAGTTCGTACTTTCAAATAAAAACATAATAAGGAATACTTTTAGAAATGCAGTCTGTCGAGGGTAAAGAATGATTGCATAAGTTGAAGAGTAATGTCAATAATAAGAAAACTCGCCTTATCACTGAAGTTATTTATATTTTTTCGGGGGAGGGAGGAAGCCCCATCGGCTCCCCAGAGCTTACTAGGCTGATATGCTAATTTTTTTTTTTTTTGAGATATATACAAGAGTTGTTACATTCTTGTACAGCCACTAGTACGCGTAGCGTTTCGGGCAAGTCCTTAATCCTATGGTCCCTGGAATACGATCCCCTGCCGCGAAGAATCGTTTTTTCATCCAAGTACACATTTTACTGTTGCGTTAAACAGAGGCTACAGTTAAGGATTTGCGCCCAGTAAATCCTCCCCGGCCAGGATACGAACCCATGACATAGCGCTCGCGGAACGCCAGGCGAGTGTCTTACCACTACACCACGGAGACTGCTAATGTCAGACTTTGGCATCAATCATGTGTATGGAGTTCAATGGGCCTACCGGGGACCACGAGCCAGAACCTAGCCCCCTCAGAAGAGGCAAGGGGATCAATGGCCTATAGAAACCCCCGTGTGGTTGGAAGCATTCTATGTCTGCCATTGACCGGGTCTGGCACCCAGAAAGGTAAGCATCCCAAAACAAACCCCTATTCTGGTGAAAATATTCCTGCCAAAAGCCAAACAAATGGAAAGAACTCCCCTAAACGAAACAAGCAAAGGATCGTGACGTCACACATCATCACGCCGCTGTCTGCGCAACTCCCCCCCCCCCCTCCCCCCCCTCCCCGGGAGGGGTAAGGAGAAGTCCCAGACCCCACACGCTGGCTATCCACCCTTTAGTTCTCGGGCTGATGCTAGAGGTGGAGGTCGTGTGCTTGGCTTCAGAGTTTTCAGCACTGTGCTTAGAGTGTGGTGGCTGTCTTCGAGGGGTGCGAGAGCCAGGAGTTATTCTACGGTACTCGGGCTGCATCCGCCTAGGGTTCTCATCCCTAAATGCCCAGTAAGTACTGCCCTTGGGGCTTGGGACTACCTTCCACAAGCTCCTTGGGACCTCCCTCTGCTAGGCCGTATTATTGCTCGGTTTTTCGGCTGCCTTTTGGGTGCTTGAGGGTTTTGTCTTCCTTGTTTACCTTAGGGTAAACCGGAAGAGGGAGCCGGTCGGCCGAGCGGACAGCACTCTGGACTTATGATCCTGGGTTCGATCCTGGGCGCCGGCGAGAAACAATGGGCAGAGTTTCTTTCACCCTATGCCCCTGTTACCTAGCAGTAAAATAGGTACCTGGGTGTTAGTCAGCTGTCATGGGCTGCTTCCTGGGGGTGGAGGCCTGGTCGAGGACCGGACCGCGGGGACACTAAAAGCCCCGAAATCATCTCAAGATAACCTCAAGATATAGGGTAAGAAGCAGTTTGCACTGGTGGGGCGCAGGGTGCTGCGCAGCTTGTTTCTACCACTCACAACAGCCGACACTGTTCCTTGGGGTACATTGTCCTCTTGCGGGGTTTTGTTTTTCTTTTTGCCTTGTGGCGGGAGGTCCACCTTGCTTCCCTGATGTCTGATCTGTGTACGTTTTTTCTGGTGGAGCCCCTTGCTAGGTCCCCGTGAGTGTACATGTCCCTGGGGTTCAGCTTATAGATAGTTATTTGGTAGTTGTGGGCACCGGTTAGCAGTACCCTGCTTGGGATTACGTGGGCTTAAGTCCCTTTTGGTAAACACTCATGACCTTGGGAATCCCCAACGGGGCGCATAGGTCCGATGGATGTGTCCCCGGATTTCCCCCTCGCTTCATAAGAGTTCGAGGGTTGCTCGGGTCCCTTGATTCAGGGTGACCCTCATGGTTTTTGCCTCCGTCACGCTGCCTGTTGGGTCGGAGGTGTCCTTAGGCAGGTGTCCTAAGGCCAGCTCAGCGTGGACAGAAACTTCGCGTAGAGCAAAAGGGCAACCTCTCCGGAACCTACCCGGAAAGGTTGTTCCAGGGCTCTGGGTTCCTCTCGTGGTAGGCCACTGGCGCTAGGTTCGGGCTTGGCTCCGCCTTCGGACCCGCCTTCGGCTGGTCGGCGCAGTGTTCGCCCTGTGCGGGGTTCCGGGTCTCATAAGGGGCGCCGACCCTTTCGTGGTTCGCCCCAATAACGGGGTGATGGGGGGAAGGCTTGCACTGTTCGCTCACACCTGATCCCACGATTTGTGGGCGTTTTGAGTCATTTCCTTCGGCCTGCGGTGGCGTTGGGTGGCCCCTCCTTCTTCAGGGGGTTCAGGGCTGGTGGGGCAGGCTTCTCCTGCATTCTGTCGAGTCGTCTTGGAGTGGGTTCGCTTGGGCGTCGTCGAAACGAAGTCGTCCCTCAGATGGGTTTCCCGTCTGTTTCCAGTGCTGAAACGGGACTGTGCGGACCTGAGGCTCATTCTGGACTTGTCCCATCTGAACCCCTGGGTTTATTGCCCATCTTTTCAGATGACTACGCTGTCTCAGGTTCGGCTCCTGTTAGAGCAGTGTTCTTGGATGGTGTCCCTGGATCTCCGGGACGCTTATTGGCATGTCCCGATTCATCTGGGGCTCATCCGGGACTGGCTCGGTTTTGTAGTGGGGCGTCAAGGTTACTGCTTTCGTTGTCCCCCATTCGGGTTGAATCTGGCACCTCGCGTGTTCACACGCCTTACACAGGTCGTCGTTGCCCGTCTGCATCTTTTAGGTGTTCGGGTGTTGGCCTACCTTGAAGACTGGCTGGTTTGGGCTCCCAGCCAGTCCAGTTGTTTGCTAGCCAGGGATTTGGTTCTTTCCCAGCTCGCCGGGTTCGGGTTCTTGATGAACTGGAGGAAGTCCCATCTGGTGCTCTCCCAGGTTTGGTCATTGCTGTGTGGGTCTTGTGTGGGACTTGTGTGGGACTCTTGGACCGCTAACTTGTCTCTTCCTCCGGAGTCTCTCCTCTGGCTGTGGTCCCGCTTGCACCTGTTTAAGGGGCTCCCGGGTCACCCGGCGGTTGCTCGAGGGTTTGTGCGGGAGCCTGACCTTCGCGATGTCGGTCTACCTACCTGGTCGAGTTTGGCTTTGTCGGCTCTTCTGGTTCCTTTGGGGACGTCCCTTCCGCCTCTCTCACGATCGCTGGGTTCGACCCTTGGGGGCCTTGTGTCTGCTGCTGTGTTGCCGGCTTCCTCTCCGGGTTTTTTGGGGTTCAGTGCCTTGGCATGTGCCCGAGCCCTCGCTTGATGTCTTCACGGACATGTCATCTCTCGGCTGGGGTTTTGTGACCAGTGCTCATCAGGCCAGCCAGGGGCAGTGGGATCCGTCCTTCCGTGGAGCCCACAGCACAGTGTGGGAGTGTGGTTTGCGCTTCAGAGGGTTCGGGTCGCCCTCGGATCGACGATCCGGCTTTATTCGGATTGCTCCCCGGTGGTTCATTGCCTGAACCGAGGGGAGAGGGGGTTCGATGTGATCCTTGGCTCTTTGGGGCTGGTCGCTTTGGATGACTCGTCTGCTGAGTTCTCGGGGTTTGGCTTTCCTGGCCGTTCACATGCGGGGAGTGTCCAACGTCTTGGCCGACAGCCTGTCCCGTTTCGTTCCCCTCTCAACGGAATGGATGGTTGTTGCTGACTCCTTCAGTTGGCTTTGCCGGACGTTCGGTTGCCCCGAGATGGACCTCTTTGCGTCAGCATGGTCACGGCACCTTTCCCTGTATGTGGCGCCCTGCCCCGACTGCGAGGCCATCTGGGTCGGTGTCTTTCGGCAGGACTGGTTGAGCTGAGGGGTTCCTGTACCTCTTTTCCCCGGTTCAGCTGTTGCTCTGGGTCCTGACTCGCTAGGAAACTTACCAGGGGAGAGTTGTCCTCTTGGCTCCGTGGTGGCCAGCCCAGCCGTGGTTTCAGGCGCTGCTAGCTCTGTGTTTGAACCCAGAGGTTTTCCCGCGGCTCCGCCTTTCCAGCAGATAGGACGGAACGTCAAGTGGCTGGTTCGATCTTCTCCTCGAGTCTTCACGTATGGTATTTTTGACTCGAGTTTATCATCTCTATGGTGATCAGGTGGCTTCCTTGTTAGTGCCCCACCTGCTGGTTTCGTCTCGGCGGCAGTACGAAGTTTCCTGGCGGTCCTTTCGTTTCTTCCTGTGTCTTCGTCATTGTACTTTGCTTTCTGTTAGGGTGGTGTTGTCCTTTCTCTCTTGGTTGTTCCAGAACTGACTCCTTATGCCTAACACTGTCGCCTCGTATCGTGTGGTGCTGGCGGAGCTGCTTCAGCTTGCTTTCAGTATTGATGTTACTTCTGCACCATTTCGCAAGCTGTCTCGGGCGTTGTTTCACACCAGGAATGTTGCCGCTGGAATGTTTCCTTCTTGCGTTTCTTTGGCTCCTTTGGGCGCTCCTTCCGCCTGTGTCGCATGGTGCGTGTGCACTTGTGTGCATTGGTCTGTCTTCGTTGCTCATACTCCTTGGTTCAGATACTGGTCTGGTGGCAACCCTTTGCACCTTCTTCAGTTTGGTTTGTTGGGACAAGGCCTGTGACTCTGTGGGTTGGTCGTGTCCCTTTCATTCCCGATTTGCTG